GTTACCTGTGGTTATCTGAATAAACGTCCCTTTCTGGTCTGATTTATGAATAATGTATATCCTTTATTTATGTTTTAGTTACTTTTCATTGGCCATCAATCACAAAACTTAATTTGGATGAAAGTCAGAGTATAGGTCAATTATATCTAACTTCCATCAGCTGTCATTTGAACTGGGAGATTTTTGTTCCAATGGAGTGAGTTTGTTTCAGTTAGCAGCTCAGCTTATCTTGAATAAATAGTGTTAGTGTTGTCTGTGACTTGTTCTGGTCGTACGCAGACATCAGGCGCCAGATTTGTAGTGTAGGGGCCCTTTGGACATCTGCGTTGAATAATGTACTTATTATAAAACCACTTCACAGTGAGTACAAACAACTGCAGGCGGTCACAGAACTGTGTAATTATCTGTAAAGTGCTGTTGCATACATGTAAATACCTAAATGGACTACAATCCAATGGAGAGATTCAGAGATTAAGTATTTTTGAAATCACTCTGGCTCCCTGGTCAAAAGGTCAATGGGATATTTCTACTGGATTTCGGGTTATTGCAGAAATAAACTTGATTTCAAACAGAAGTTTATGATACTTACATATTTTGTTGAGCAAGATAAACCACGTTTACACTGTTTATGATTTGGAAAGGGTTTGTGCAATAACCAGGCCAAAAAACCCCGGCTACAAACAAACTACACTTCAGCCACATGACTTCAACGTCAACACCATTAAGCTAAGGCAGAGTGTTTGGCCTAATGGCGTTTAATGTCCACAACAACATCTGCAGTCTCATTAAAGAGGCCCTATTATGCTTTTTGGGGTTTTCTCTCTCCTATAGAGTGTTATACAGGTTTGTTGTGCATGTAAATGGTCTGCAATGGCTAAAGGAAAAAGTTCCCTCCAGAGGGAGTTTCTCTCCCCCCTGCCTAAAATGCCTCCTTTGGACTCCTTTGTTTACTTCTGCAACATAGTGATATCACTATGTAACACTCTAGCTTCTATTGGCAACATTGTACACATTGTACGTGATAGAGATGTCCCGCCCTTTAGCCTAAGCGGTTGACCAATCACAACAGAGCCGGCTAGCTAACTAATCAGAGCAGACTGGGCTCTGGTTTCAGACAGAGGGTGAAAAGAGGTGCTGTAACACAGGCAGTATGAGAAAAATAAAGAGCTTTTTGAACATTAAAGCATGGAGACATGTCCCAGTTGAGTCACAAAATACAAATATGATCCTGAAAGTGAGCAGAATAGGGACACTTGTAAGCAGACGTCTTTTGTTAAGACACAAAAAAACGTACAAGTTGGGTATTTACTGACATACTTGATGTTGTAGAACCAAATGTTAAAGTATCTTAAGCTTGTGTTAACCCCCCTTGGTTCAGTCATTTAACAATACTAACAAAAAAACATCAATATCTTTAAATCAAGGAACCCAGAACTGCAAAAATGCGAACTGATATCCGGATTTTAGGACTCTGCTTCAGCACGATATGACCTTTACGCGCTTCATGACCTTTGAAAAGTGCCGTTGTTAAAAAACGGTCTTAGACGTTGGCGAATAACACCTCAGTTCTTCTGCGCCAGGTTAACTACTCAGCAGTGCTGCTTCCTGTTCCGTTATTTAAGGTCACAGTTCACTGAGAAAAACAGTGGCATTACCAGTAAGATGGTAAAGTACCCTTGCATGTTGCACACTGCCACTCTTAGTCCCACCAACACCCCATGGGAACCAGTCCTCCCAGTTGGCAGGGGCCCTCTCTTGTGGTAGAGGCGTCATTATCACCGCAATAGTTTTGGAGGGAAACAAAACATTATTTCCATGACACGAGGGAGACAGGAAGCTACAGTATAGCTGCAGCAGCGTTGCCCTCGCCCTGCCCTCCACCCACCTTCAGTTATTTAGGTGGAGCTGTATAATCACTGAGGTTCAAACTCAACGCCCTCCACCCACCATGAGGTCTCTGGCTTATCTCTATCCTTCATTACAATCATGTATGCGGATAGTAAAGTCAACACATGATGATACAAAAGATCATAACAACCAGGTCGATGATTTCTTTTAGCATATGGCGGGGAATGGAATAAAATGACTTTACATAGAATTAGACACAAACACGATTTATCGATGTCTGGCCTCTCCTGTCGGGCCCTCCTCTTTTTCCAGCCCTGACCCTCGTGTTTTGCAGGGCGGGGATGTTAACACATGGCACTCTTTTCCATCCACTCTGCAGGAAATGCATCATAGTTCATTGTGGGGGGGGGACTGTCGTGTTTTCTGAACAGGAAAGTGTAAAAATAACTATCAGTCGGTGGTTCCGAAGCCCAACGAAGCATGCCAACATTCAGGAACGCAGAGGTTGATTTAATATAAAGATAAACAGCTTTGTGCTATTGTCAAAGAGGGATTTGCTGCTTTATTGAATGGCACACGATGCAAAGAGTGGCTACAGCAAAAAAGACTGTTATGTGGAGTTAAATGCTAAAGTATTAACAAAATGATTTCTATTTCAGATATCCAATTTGTGTCCAAACTTAAGTAGCAGTAGAGTGGAGTACAGCGGAGGATTCGAGCAAGATGTCTGCTGAGGTAGTTTGAATGTCTGGTTAGATTTCATTGATTGCTGAAGCTGAAGTTAGTTGTGTCGATATATATTCGCATATTTAAATATCTTGGTGCATAAAGGTGCAGTTGGCCCTTTGAAAAGTGTAACTCTCAGTGCTCAATTCGAACAAACACCTCCAACAGAAAGCTTGAGAGAGGGCAGAGGAGGAAGTGACAGGATAAAGAGCAGCAATCCCTTTCTCCAGGCTGCAGCATCCGCTGAGGAAACTCTAGAAGACAGGGACACAAAGATATGAGCGCACAGCTCAGGAATGGAGGATGTTTGACGTTGTTCCCAGCATTCCCTTCTCCTAAGCCCCTTCCCCTCCGACACACTCCCCAACACTGATTGAGCTGTTTGTGTCGCCTCCTGTTATTGTCAGGGGGAGAGCACCGAAACAGTTGACTCCATGCTGCTCCCTTGGCCAAAACCCCATTGCACTCCCACCAGCAACTGCACCGATTGTACATGTAGCCAATAATGAACCGCAGAGAGATGAAGAAAAGAAGGAAAAGGAGGCTAACCAGAGCCATAAGTCACAAAGGGCTGTTGAACAATTGAAACTATAATTGATTGAGGTTCACAAAGGCATTTCCTGACATAACTTCAAAATTACGTCTCGTGAGAATGCAAGGGTTACAGGAAGGGCTACACATCTGAAATCAGAAATTATTTTAGTGTGCTTGTTTCATTAACGTTTACTTCACTTTTTCTGTCCACACTTTCTATCCATCATGGCTGAGTAACTTCCTTACCCCGGCGAGACGTTACTAAGACCCAGATTAGCATGTTTGCACAGGCATTAGGCTCCTGCTTTTCCCTGCTAGATATTTCCAGGGCCAGAAAGCACAGCTTTGTAAAATTCCAGGACTGTACCACATTTTCCATGACTGTGGAAATGCTGCATAGACCATGGGTCAGTATGTTTTGTGCTTGTAATGGATAGATTGTTCCCACACAGAGAGAACTATTCTGGATGTTTGGGATGTTTACAGCAAGATTGACTGGCTGCTTCAGAGCTTTATGTTTCCTCACTGACACAGCAGAGAGGCGTGTGCTATAGCTGACAGAGGAAACCACTCCAACACTTCAAAGGTTACTAACAAGCCAAAGTTCAGAAGCCAAACTCAAGAGCAATCACTGAGCAGTTTTTAAATGATAGATAAAGAAACAAGTATTATTTTTCATGTATTCATTCGTTTTAGATTCAATTAGATGCATGGCTCAGAGTACTGAGGATATACAGTTTGGCAGTAGAAATGGGTATAAACACTATACCCCGAAGTATAGAAATGTAATACCCTAAGTATAGACAGTAGTTTATAGACACTAAGAAAGAATAAATATGATTATTATTATACACTATTGACGGTTTTTTAAACCTGTGTTAATAAAAATATGAGTAAGCCAAGATATTTCCAATGAATGATCACCTAAAGCACTGAATGACAAACAAGTATTGGCTTGAAATAAAAGTACAGAGCATAAAATCCACATGCAAAGTTATAAAAGTGCTCTGTCTGGTTCATCATCATGACAGACTGAGTGACCACATTACATTGAGTGAGGTCACACAAGGTATTTTGCTGCTTTGGGAAACAGTTGCTGTGACAACACTGACTGGCGAGTAGGAAAAAACAGGTACAAAACACATGGACTTCAGCCATCATTCATTTTTGTTATTTACTGCGACATTTCAGAATGCTTTCTTAAATCCCCATAATGGAGAATATTGAACAGAATATTATAGAAACCTGTTTCTAACTGCTCCAACACTTTCCCCTTTAACAACCATCATTTACATATCTGTATTGTCTTCACACTGAGCATTGTACATTCATATTTGATTTAAAATGCAATGTTTTGCACACTTAATGTTAATGCATGTATTCGACAGATAGTCTACAGATTTATATGTTTCACTGTCATTATGAATTTTACTTTTTTGTTTTGTTTTATTTTGATTTGTTTATATCTAGTGTTTGTTTATGTATACCCTTTCTCATCTTCATATTATGTTCAATGCCTTGTTTACAGTACCGCTGCTGTGACGAAAACATTCCCAAATTGGGATCAATAAAGTCAATCTTATTTTAGCCAACTTCTGTTGAGTGTTAGCTAGAGTTAAGTTACTGCAGAATAAACTAATCTACATGCTATTTAATTTTAAATAGCATGTATTTAAAGAAAGTAAAATCATTTTTGAAAAACTGCATCAGAAAGTTTGCCAAAGTGTTCAGCAACTTAAGTATTTTGGAAAGTATTGTGCAGGTGTGCTGCTAAATTACAGCATTGAATGACACGTGTGTTAATGTTATGTTTATACTTCTGGTTTGGCGTTAAATGGTTACATCTCAACCATGAACGCACCTCAGCTTCTTTACCTTAAACACTCACTCACCTTCCAGCCCGCGGAGCTGTTGCTGTCTCCCTTATCCTTGAAGTAAGGCACGTTCTTCACCATCCAGTCGTAAATCTGAGACAGAGTCAGCCTCTTCTCAGGTGAGCTGTCTATGGCCTTGGTGATCAGGTCGGCGTACGACATGTTCCCCCAGGCGTTGCGGCGGGACGAGCTGCCTTTCCTCGGTCCGGAGGTGCTGCTTCCCGGAGGAGCGACGCCCGGAGAGGGGACCTGCTGAGCGGGGAGCGGCTGCTGCTGGAGGGGATGGAGGTGGTGCTGCTGCTGTGGAGGGACACAATTCCCCTCTCGACACTGAAAGTCCCTCTGCTCCGCATACTCTTCATAGTCCTCCTCTAACAAGCCGAGGCTGCTGATGAAGTCGGTGTTTCCTCCGGGCTCCTGCTGCACTGAGGGGGCCGGGGAGGAGGTGTTGGAGCCGGCCGGATCGCTGAGCTCCGGGCGGGGCAGCGGCCAGGTGCAGGACCGCGGCCGGGAGAGAGGTTCGAATTCCGGGTCTATTTCGACCGGCTGCGGTACCTCAGCCATGCCTGTGTCAAACTCACTGTCACAGACACTCGCATACAAAAATAAATAATGGGGGGGGGGGAATCAACAGGTAAAAGTGGTTTTGCGTCCACACACACACACCAGACAAGACAAGAGGTTTGCAATTTAAAAGTTGGATAAATGTTTGGTTCAAAGTCTTTACTGAAGTCACACCATCCTGCACCGACTGGTCTCTACCCTCAACTGTCAGTGAGTGTGATGCTGCCTTCAAGGACCACACACAGGCTCCGTCATCCTGCTCATAAAACTTGAAGGTGCGTTCAAATGCTCTGGTGGCAAATAGAAGCCGTGTTAAATAAATGCACAATGGTTTTTTTACAAGGGGAAATTGAGCTTGAATAATTTCCTAAAGAAATTATGAATTACACCACATTATACTCTTCATGGTTTTTTAGAGTAATGAGGAGCTGTAGACTACAAACACTCATGATGTCCTGCAAATATACACAAATAAAGTCTTTATCCTAAGTTAAAGAAATAGTTCTGCCTTCAAATCAAAACTATATATTTTTCTTTTCACGCGTTTTTTTTCAATCTAGATTACTTTGGTTTGAGTTGCTGTGTGAAAGACAATACTTAAAAAAAACATTATATGCAGTTGTTCCCTTTTGAGCACCACAAGCCAAGTGCCATGTAGTTCTGTTATATTCAAGACACACCAAAACATCCAAGATTGATAAATATCACACCTTGTCCCTTGTGGTTTTTAAATAGGGATCTATCTACAGATGTGACATTACTGGGAGAGATTTATGTATAAACTGGATATTTGATTATTTCCAACACATATATTGTTTTATTAAACCTTAAATAATGTGTTTGGCAATTCACTTTTTAATGATTTTGACATCAGAAACAGTCCCTTCAATTGACAAAAGGTTTTGATAAAGTACGGACAAGTTACTGCACAGGGTTGACTTTTTCTTTTGAAATATCCCATTTTTGTCCCAAAGCTGTCAGCAGCGCCATCTAGTGGGTTATTTGTGCGTAAGACTTTTCCTTACACTCAAAAACACTTATTTTTTTAACTTCATACACATAAAAGAGAAGTGTTGCCAAAATCTTATCATGCCAATCATGTGTTTAAGGAAAAGTGAACAAAATGTGGAAACGAGGCACTCTCAACTGTCAAGCTCTCGTTTTCCACACGTTCTCAGACAATAGATTACCAAGGGTGTTTTTAGACCAGATGGAATCTGTGCCGTACATTGTTAACATGTTTTTAAACTTTAAAAGCACTTCCCCTGCAGAGGGCACGAGGTTCAAGGTCTTATTACGCTCCTACTGTAAACCCGATCTGAGGTCCTAGGTTGTGCACATGAGTTACACTTGTGTTACAGCCTGTCAGCAAAAACACCATCAAAGGTGTTTGTTTGACCCGTCACACAAAAAGAGTACAACAATATTTTCATCCACCAGTTTCCTTTGAAATTGAATGACTTAAACCTCAATTCAACTTAAGAGTCCAGTGCTTTTTTTAATGAAGCCTAAATCTACAAACGAACGGGCTTTGATAAATTCTTTAAAACAATATTTTAAGCTAGTTAATCACTTGCTACTTGTGGGTATCACAACAACAACAACTAGATAGATATAAGCATTACGGTATTCAAGATACAAAAAATCCAAATCATTTTTATTTTATTGTGTCACCACACTATTGAAACATCATAGCCAGTAAATCGCCTGCATCAGCATTGGATTATGAAAGTAAAGGTTAAATAAATCACCAGTGATGCAGTAAATGTACGTCACTAACTGGAATAAAATTAAATAAGCCGTGGGTTTTTTGCTCTTTTACACTTTCTGTATACTTTGTACAATCAATCTATAAACACAGCGGTTCTATAGAACTCTGATCAACATTTTAGAAACAGTAGATAATGTACAATGTTTGCCACCAGGACACAGACTTGATGCCACTTCAACAGGCCTCCTGCAAGTGATAAAATCAAACTGAAATGCTAAAGATGATCGTAGTTGCAAAGCCCCGCTGAGTGAACAGGTCTTACTTTTATGTCTCCATTCAACAAATGTTGAAAACAGACGCAATTGTCTCAGTTGAGGTAAACTTCAGCCTCTTTCAGGACGTCCTCTTTCTGGTGGAAGTAGTCTCTGAACCAGGAAATGTGGTCCCTCTTCTGTTGGACTGTGAGGTAAGGGTTTTTGGACAGACCGGCCACCACCAGCTCCATGAAGTGACGCACCGGTCCCTGTCGGGGGAAACCCTCCTGCAAGTGTTCCTCTAAAAAGATGTGCTCATGGAACGGGACGCTGGCTTCCTCTTCAAGTCCTAACAGAGAGTAAGAAGAAACAGTCAGTGTCATTCCTTCATTGTGGCATACAGTCGTATCATTCAGGTTTATTCAGTAGTTAAACGTTAGCAGTAGAAGATGATATGCTGCTGTTGCGTATTGCTTGTGGTTAGGAACATAACTTGTTGTGTTAAAATGATTATGTTCATAGACAATATTGCTAACATGTTTTGGGAGATTACCAGCAGGTGTCAGTATCGTAACACACAAAGTGCATTTATGATGTGTGTATGAGTGTGACGTCAAGTCTCGCGAGAGCACGGAGGAGAAGGAGAGTTTCAGGAAAGAAAGTGTGATTCGTGCCGAATGGCGAGTGTAGACATGAAGGTGATCTTCTGTTTGGTTCAGAAATCTTGAAACAAAGAAAATGTGTAGCACCAGAGTGAACCTGCGTGAGAGTATCATTTTGTGCTGGCTACATCATTCATTCTGTACATTTGCCTTTTATTTTTAGAAACGTGTTACTCACCAGCTTCGTTGTTGATTGGGTACTGCCACATTCTCCCCTCTTTGGTCCACTGGATCATCTCCTCCAGCCCGTTGCGGTGTGTTTGTTCGGTGCTCAGAGACAGATCATTAGCCAAAACAATGTCCCATAGAGTTGGCCGGACTGTGGAAGAGTCACATCAGCGTTATGGGCAGAAGTCCTTATGAAGATCATTTCAACAGCTCTTTCATTGGGACATTAAAATGGTTTAGGAGAGACCAAGACCCATGGTGTCCAGTGACAATAAGCACAATTTAAGCCTTATTTTCAGTACAACAGTTATTTCTAAAGGACCTCCCCTCATACAAAGCATGGTAAAAAGAAGCCCCTCGACTCCCATCTTAGTTTACTTATTTAGTTTTGCCCAATTCATAGATTGGAGGATGCGTCCCCAGCTGACCCAGAAAGCGACTCAGGTTCTGGTCCAGGCTCTCGTCATCTCACGCCTAGACTACTGCAACTCCCTCCATGCTGGTCTACCTGCATGTGCCATCCGACCTCTGCAGCTCATCCAGAATGCAGCGGCTCGCCTGGTCTTCAACCTTCCTAAATGTTCCCACACCACTCCGCTCCTCCGCTCCCTTCACTGGCTTCCGGTAACTGCTAGAATCCACTTCAAGACAATGGTACTTGCGTACCATGCTGCGAATGGATCTGGCCCTTCCTACATCCAGGACATGGTTAAACCGTACACCCCAGCAAGTGCACTCCGCTCTGCATCAACCAAACGGCTCGCTGCACCCTCGCTGCGAGGGGGACCCAAGTTCCCATCAGCAAAAACACGTGGGTTTGCTGTCCTGGCTCCAAGATGGTGGAATGAGCTCCCCATTGACATCAGGACAGCAGATAGCTTACACACCTTCCGGCGCAGACTGAAAACTCATCTCTTTCGACTCCACTTCGAGTGATAGAACTATTAACGAAGCACTTATATACTAATAAAGGGCTGGCTTACCTAAAGCCAGTTGAGTAGCACTTGAAATGTTTTTGCTCTATGAAGCCTGATGTACTTATATGATTCTGTTTTCTTCAAGTTGTATTTTGTTGGTCGAACGCACTTATTGTAAGTCGCTTTGGATAAAAGCGTCAGCTAAATGCAATGTAATGTAATAGATGCCTATGGGATCATCATTGTTTTTTGATGCCATAGACACTCGACAATTAAGCCAAGATACCCTAATATTGATGTTTGTCATAACGGACAAATACAAAAAAGGTATTTCCTATGACTTCCTTTTGTTTCTGAATCTGGAAAAAAATAATTTCCCTCAAACGTATTTTTCTCTATTAACTATCTCTTTCTACGTGGTGTTACTTACACTGAGCCTCCCCTAAAAACGTATAGAGCCCTCCTATGAAAACCTCTGATATACACAATTGATTTAGCCACTGTAAGCAAGCAGTTAATACATAATAACAGTCTTAATACAACATAAAAATGGCTTATTACCAACTGCCGATTCAACTCCATCTTTATCAGTATCAGTAGTGCCAGGGAAGATGTTGAGCCTTTTCCTTGAGATATAGGTCTTCCTAAAGAAACAAAAACAAACAGATCTCAAGCACATGTTCCATTTTAAAAGCTACCGAGTAAAGATGTGATGAGAGATATTTACCTATTCCGAGAATTGTACGGCTCTCTGTCGATTCCCTTTATGTAAGTGTATCCTGGACCGTCGTCATCAAACTGGATCTGATTGGCCGGCCGGGTGGTCTGCCTCCTGTTGGGATTCTTTCGTACTTTCATGTCAGTGATGATGTCTCTGAGAAAAACATTGTTGGATTCATTTAGACCGATGCCTTTTGTTTTCCATTATACAGAATGAAAACACAAAAAACAATATCACATTTGAGACTTTTTAATAATGAAACTGCTTGATTTTCACACCAATATTCATATAAAACAATTTACCCCAAACTTATTTAAGGTCAATGTTAAATATTTGTTTATTGAGGATAGAAGGTTGTTTAAAATCGATACTGTAAATACAGATGATGCTGCAAGAAGTGCAGAAATATAATAACAACATATATTGAATTGACCTTGGAAAATGCAGCAATAAAAAGAAAGGTGTCTAGGCTTGATTTAAAACAATCTCGTTGTTGGGGCAGACGTCAGCTGTTCAGGAAGTTTACTACAGATTTGTGGAGCATAAAATATAAAAGCTGCTGCTGCGTACAAATATAGAAAACAATACCACAAGCCAAATAATTATCCATTAACATTAAAATACTGGATACATACCCGAGGATGTTCATGTCCCCTTTCTTCTGAGCCTCAGTGACGGTCTGTTGCTGCCTCAACTGGCGGAGCAGCTCTGACGTGGCCTGGCTGCTGTCGGGGAGGGTGGAGGCGGCAGCAGACA